AATTTTAATAATCACATTACAAATTTTGATCCCTGAAATTCTTGGTAATACCAATGTTCACTTTGTCTGGTTTTGTTACAGTATGCCCCAAATGATTTTTTGAATTGGTTATTTAACTTTTGAACCAAAGTTCATAAGCTCAAATGATTTTTTGAATTGGTTATTTAACTTTTGAACCAGTTATTTAACTGACAGTTCAAAAGTTAAATAACTGTTATTGCCAACACTGGAATTTATTGATATTAATATTGAATAAAAATTTTATTTAAATTAAAAGTCACATGAAATGATCAACTGCTTGAGATATAACCCACCTCAATTATATCCCACAAAAGTACTGATACAAAAAGGAGGGATATAAAAGAGGTATGACTGTATTATTAGTATACGTGCTAACCAAATTTGGTTAGAAATGTCAAATTCCGCATACTGAATTTTATATATATATCAATATATTTTATTATTGTACACTGGTTTTTGGGTTCTCCCTTTATTATAATTAATAATTCGTGTGGTTTCACGAGAATTTTTATTTTCAACAAATTATATAAATAGTTTAACATGGACATTGAGGATCAAATAAAAAACTTGACCGAAGAAGGAACTAAAGCTTTAAATTTAGGAGAGTTTGAAAAGGCTATTGAAAAGTTTAGTGAAGTTTCTGAACTTTCGTATGTATTTGTTATTGATAATACACTTGCTAAGTTTATATACTATATACCAAAACAAAAAAAAAATTGATCTCGCTTGACAACGCGTAAATCATATAAATAAATCTTTAATTTTTACGTTTTCTTTTCACCCATTTTATCTACTTATTATTATTGTTAATTCAAGTACTATAATTTATGGAAATGTTTCTGAAGAGTATGCAAAAGCTCTATATAATTACGGGCGTGCATTACTTGAAAATGCAATGGTGCAAAATAAAGTACTTGCAAATGATGCACTTGAACAACAATCTAAAAATGATACTATTACAGGTAAAGCTGATAAATCAAATTATTCTCGAATCAATAACATCGTAATAAACTCATTACTAATAATTATTTGATTTAGATGATCTTCTACAACAACAACCAAACACTTCTCATCTTTACTTTGAAGGTGAACCTGATTTCTCTGATGGAAATGACGAAGTCGATGTTGTTAACCTTGTTGAAGAAATAGATTGTGGAATTTCATCAACATCTGTTTTGCTTGTTGATAATGATGATGATGATAAAGATAATAAAAAGGATAATACTACTATTAATACTACTATTGATGATATAACAACAGACACAAATGCACAAGCAATAACTGAAACAATAGCTGAAACAACTATTTCAAATGATGATCAAAGTGACGATGATTTGACATTAGCGTGGCAAATTTTGGAATTAGCAAGAATCACTTATTTAAAAATTGATTCAAAAGATAAAGAAAAAAAATTAATTCTTGGTGAAATATACATTAAATTGGGCGATGTATCTCTTGAGTCTGGTATTAATATATATATTATTTCCTTTTATTTTGATATTGAAAAAAATAAAAATATTCAAATAAACCATTTTTTGACAGAAAATTTAGATCAAGCTGCAATTGATTATCAAGAAGGTGTGAAAATCAAATCAGAATTTTTACCAGAAGATAACCGTCAATTAGCTGAGGCATATCCTTTTTTAATAATAATAACGAAAATTTTATAGTTAATAAACATAATAATAATGTTAATAATAATTATTCTTAACTTGGTTAAAACACTTATTGGAAATTGGCTATTGCTTTAGAATTGCTACCTGACCGAAGTCGACTTGAATCCGCCATAGATTATGTTCAAAAGGCAATAATTGTTTTACAAAATCGTAAAAAAAATCTTAAATCACAATTAATCGCTTTGCAAGAAAAAGTCGGCAAAGGAAAGCAAGTGGCTACAACTGATGATGAAGATAGTTCGATCATTGAAGATGAAATAAAAGAGATTGATGAATTATTGGTTGAAATGGAAACTAAAGTACTTATTCAGCTATATTATTTATATATTATTTATATATTATTTTTTTATTTATTCACATATATATATATATTTAATTATTCTATAAAAGCTTGAAGACCTTAAAACAGTGAAATCTTCAAATGATGAACTTAAATTAAATCCAATTGATATGACGATGGATGAATATGTAAAATCACAACAATCTATAATAACTGCTCCAAAATCAACAACAACACCCAACATTAATTCATTATCATCATCAACTATTATAAATGATTTGACACCACTTATTAAGAAAAAATCTACGACCACCACCACCGCCATTAATGATGATAGTAAAAACAACGAATTTAATCAGGAAAAGAAAAGAACACTTGAATCAGATAATGATAATAATAATAGTGAAGATGTTAAAAAATCAAAAACATCTAATGTGGAATAATCTTATTATTTGAAAAATATAAAGATTTTATTGCTTTATCAAATAGTTTTTTTTCATACTATATATTTCTTTTCTCTCGTAATAATAATCATGATGATAATAATAATATATAAAGAAAAAGAAATTTTTGTATATATATATATAATAAAAACTTTCTTTTTTATTCTAGCAAATTACAAAGTCACATATATAAGAATTTGGGTTAATTCTTTTTTTAAAAAAATTATATCTTTAATTACGGCACATTCATTAACAATTTATTAAAAAAAAATTATTATTGATATTAAATTATCAGTTATTAGATCATAAATAAAAATAATAGACTTTAATATAAATATTATATAATATATAATAATAATAAAATAATAATAATAAAAATAATTATAATTTAAAAAAGAGAGAAAAAATAATAATAAATGATGAAAGAATTTTATGCAAATAATAGTAAATATTGTGAAATCTGAAATGATTAAAAAAATATAAAAAATATATATATTTATAAATAATATAAATTCACCTATAAAAATAAAAAAAATTTTTTATAAAAACTAAATAATTGTTCAATTAGAATATATATTATATATAACTATTATTGTTGTTCATTGTATATAAATAAATATATACTTATATATGATTATTTTTTTTGCATTTATTATTATTATTATCAATTCTCTTGTAAAAAAAAAAAACAATAAATAATAATTAAATCACTACAAAAATTTAAATTTAAATATATTGAAAATTTGTTAAATTTGATCAGAGTTTAACTATTTTCTCTCTACTCTAAAATCACTTTACTAATTTGCTTCAACTCCTTCAGTACTAGATTCCTTTTCAGTGACATCATCAATTGCCAATTGTTGTTGAACAAGTTCACTTAATTCATCTGTACTGTCATCATTACCATTAGAATTATTAGAAGTTTCACTATTCGCTGTATCTTGTTGCTGACTATTCATATGTGCTACATTGGTTGATATGTTTTGTCCTTCAACTCCATGTTGAATGACAGGTCCAGTATAAATTGGTTGATAATATCTAGTTGCTGCATATTGTGGTCCAAATGTTGGTGAAATTGAGCCAGGTGGATATCCACTAATTATGTAATTTTATTTCTATTATTATTACTTAATTTTGTTAAACATGTCAATTGATTAAAATATTTTTATTTATTTTTACCTGGCTGGTTGAACTCCTTCGGGAAAATATTGTAAATAAGCACCAGGTCCTGGTGGTGATCCAGCTGCCATTCCTAACATGTGCTCGGGTGTGACGGGAACTTGTGATATTATTCTCTAATTTTATTTATTTTTAAAGAAATATTAGCAAAATAGAATATCTTGTGTTATTATTAATTTATATTATTTACTCACACCACCCAAAGAGGTAAAATCACGAGTTCTCCATGTACGTTTTTTTGCTGTTTGTCCTTTAAGTTTTTTTTGTGCTAAAGAATCAGCAAAACGAACTTGAAGTGGTAAACTGGCACCAGGAAGCTGATATCCATTAAATTTTTTAATAATTTCCAATGCAGAATCCCGATCTTCCATCCTAACATATTTGTTTAAATATAATTTAGGTACTTTTTAAATTAAAAAAAAAGTGAAATTTATCAATCAGTATACCTTGCAAATCCGACTCCTCGACTTGTACCATTTTGGTCTCTAAGAATACGATTAGATACAACTTTATAAGGGCTAAATATTTCCTCCAATTGCTGTTTGAGTATTGTATGTTTGATTAATTTTCAATAAAAATATCTTTATATATTCCAAGTAAATTTTCTAAATTTTACCTGCTCCTTCATATCTAAAGGTAAATTTGATAAATATATATTTGTAGACGCCAAATCTTGTAAATTCTTTAGTCTTGTGCTGAACGATTCCTATAAGTAAAAAAATTTTTTTTTACCAAACACATGGTCAATATAATGTTGTATATATAGTAGTCGTTTATCATCATCATCATCATCATCATCATCATCATCACACATATAAATATGTTTTAAAAAAAGTTTTTAGTAAATGATCAAAAAAATTTTATTTATTATAAAACCAATAAAAATATAAATTATAAAATTGCACTCACATAACCGACCTTAGCGAAAGAGACTTGTAATCCCAATCGCGTCAATTGTTCAATTGCATGCTTTGCTTGATCTTCAGTTTCATACATCACAAAGCCATAACCTTTACAATCACCTTGTTTTTGATCTATAATGGCTTTTGAAGAAGTAATATTTCCGTACCTAAAATGTTATCCATTAATTATATAAATATATAAATATATATATATATATATTTACAATATCAAATAAATTAACACAAAAAACTCCTACTTAGATAAAACAACTTACACGGAACACGTCGTATGTAAAGAATCGTCGGTTGTGGTAGGTGGTAATCCACGAATGTAAATATTTGTAGTCCTTGTTGGGTTGCTGAAATTAGGACCATTGGATGCTTGTTGAGAAGCTGAATTTCTTCTCACATAATTATAATTTGGTTGAGAACGGTTTGTACTACTACGTGAACTATTCAAAGGACCAACTTTTGGAGAGGGAACTCCAGGTCCAGGTAAATATTGGGGTGGTGGGGAATTAGGAGCAGAAGAAGATGTGTGAGATAAAGTTGGTGAAAGAGTGTGAAGAGCGTGAACACCATAAGGAGATTGAGGAGTGTACAAATAGGGATGCATCGGAGGTGAATGTATAATACCAGTTGGCCCAACTTGTGGTGAAGTAGGATAATAAGCTATAGGCGGACTTGTAGCAGTAAAATAGGGGCTTAAAGGTTGGGGTGGAAGAGAAGGAGAAGTTTGTCCTTGAGGTGGCGTTCCAGGATACCCTACGCCATAATCAGCAGGATAATATTGTGAATATTGAGGATGCATTCCATATTGACCATAAGCAGCAAAAGCATTTGGATCACTTGGATCATATCCTGCTGCAATTGCAGCTTGGTAGGCTTCGGCTGCGATGGCAGTTTGTTGGTCTATGTAAGTTTGAGCTCCACCGTTCGTATAATAAAAGTTAGGTATTGGTGATAAAGGTAAAGATGTTCCAGGATTAGGATTAGAGGCATACTCTACAGAGCCAGCATTGACATTCGTTGAATTTGTTGTTGTTGATGTTGTTGTTGCTGTTTTTGTTTGTTCTTGTTTCTCAGAATTATCATTTGAATCGTTCTCTATAGCAGTATTGTTTCCGTTAATTTCTGTTTGTTTATTTGTAGGCTCAGTCACAACTGAAGAATTGTTATCTATTGCGGTCATAATAAATAAGTGTCTTTGCTATTAAGAGAAGTTAGATTGATTTGATTTCGTTCCAGATTAGAATGTATCCTTTATATTTCCAAGATTATATATATATATATATAAAATATATATATATAATAAATTTTCATATACATGTACTACAAAAGACAAAAAGACAAGTGGATGTAAAGAATAAGTTTGTTTTATCACATTTGTCACATGGTGACGATCTTGAAATGATACCGTGTAACTATCGTTATATTTTAAAGTAAAATGTTAATTACACGAAAGTTCTAAAATAGCAATGGCGCATTAAAGGCATGGGAACGAGGTGCTAATGGCAATCGGAATATAAATAAATCTTATTTTTATATTTTTTTTTTCTTGATTTTAATGTTGGACCAAATTTTATCTTGTCACATTTTACAACCAATAAAATCAAATTCCCACCATGAATAGTAATTTTGTATCGCTTTTTTTTATTACACAAATTTAATTCCTTTAAAAAAATAAAGAACCTGTAACTAACTGAGTACAAGTCCAGCTTACAATAATGTGTAAGCCTAACATTGCAAAGTAATTATTTAAAAGTGGCTATTAATGATGGATTAAGAATGTGCACATTTGAGAAGCCTGGATTTTGTTTGATGGCTTCATAACATCCGCATGCTTTACAATGCAATGCTTGCAGCAGGATTTATGAAGCAACATTTGTCTTGCAGTTTCAGAATATATTTTTCTAAAATCTTATTATTTTTAACCATATCTTGTGTTTTAAATTCAAAGAGAAAGAACCACATTTTGGTTTTTGCATAAAGTAGAAGAATAGGTCATGGGACAAAGTCATTTTTATATATATCATTTGCATTACTATTATCCCCAATGTCAAAAAGTCATCATTATATTTATATGTGGAACCCATTCTTATTTATTTTGATATCAAATAGGTTAACAAATATTTATAATACCTGTCTGCCATTAAAAAGGAGCAAAAACAGAGCGAATAGATGTTCGTTTCATTCATATCAATGAACAGAATTGCTTGCCGAACAAGCTTAAATAGCATACCATTATTATTTGTTATACTAAAAATCCCCAAATTTATCTTGGCCAAAAAATCTAACCTCCTGGGGATGAGGTCTAACCTCTTGGGCAAATCCTAACCTTTTGATGTAAAGAATCTAAACTCTCAGATTAAATCCTCTTTATGTAAAGCACACAATGTCCACAAGCAGAACCAGTTGGCTTGCCACAATCAATGCATGGATAACGCTTTTTCATCATATAGTGAAAGTGACACCTCTCAGGACTAAAGGCACTTGTCGTAAATGGCTGGCCTGCTAGCTATCATTGCCGCAAATAGCTATTGGTGGCTATCGTTTGCTGTAATAATTACGGCTGCTGCAAACAACACTACTGGTGTAATTATTGACATTTCATATTAGTTGTCAGTTGTTCATTTGCAGTGAAAAAATAAAATTTGCGATTACAACCCAGGATTGTTAATGGGTTAACGTTATTATTATGAACCCGTTAAGAATATTATTATTATTTGAACCCGTTAAGAATCCATTATGATTTTTTTCATCCAGATTGGTAACGGGTTAATCCGTTAAAATAGCAAATATTATTGAATAATAATAATAACAATATGGTAATTAATAAACCAAAAGTATTTATTTGCCGGAATTTAAAATAATAAAATATTTACTTGATGATCCGTCTATGAATCAGTCAGCGAGTAC